AGGCAGTCCCAATCACAAACCGTCAATGCACTGAAAGGTCTAGTCAACCTATGAGGTTCATCAACAAAATGCCTTCGAGAAAACTATTTTGGGAACATTTAAAGCTAATATTGCTTTTTTAAACATTTGTGGGTTCCAATACCGCACTCCTCACCCGTCTGAATCTACAAACGCAAGGCAACGGGCATGCAAGATAAACTGCTCATTTCTGTAGAGATAAATAAATCCTGCTTCAGGTACTGCTTCCCATTTGGTCGTCCAGAAGGTGCTTTGAAAGGAACACTGTCACTTTTAGAAAGGGTACGCACCGAGTTTTACTAACAGCTTCGAAATGCATTAATGTGTGGCTGTTTAAGAATTTAATTTATTTCTAGGTGCTCATGAAAGATGTCGTATCACCTGTGCCACCAGAGGAGGTGCGGGCAGTTATACGTAAATGTCTCGAGGATGCCGCTTTGGTCAACTATACACGGATATGTAATGAGGCGAAGATTGAACGTAAGAAGGCAAAGTTGTATAAAGTGAAAAAAGCACTTTAGTGCAACATTTGTGTTCGTAAGCAGTTACGGTAATCCCTGATGCGGGAAACTGTGCAATTTCTTCGTCTTTTTGATTTTTGTACGGCAACTGATGCTGGATAATGTGGTGAAACAGTCGTGTCCGAGTAGGGATACAAGAGTTTATGCGTGGACCGAGGGCGAGGAGCTATTAATTAGGGGTAGGTGACCCATTTCCTGTGAAGAAAGAGGTTTAAAGAATAAATGGCAACCCATCACGGTACTACCTTATTCTCATAGTTGAGGCAAAATTTCCCATCTCCTAGCTCACGGTCCATGCGCCAAGGTGGTCTTACCAGAAATGCTTAAAGGACGAATTCACGATGAAAAAGCAACCCATTTCAAATTAACCTAGGGATGGTGAGTGGTACACGAAAGAAGGAAGAACCATGAGAAACGGCCCAGAACCCGAGAAATGGACCCCTTCCTTGCCCGTTGATTTGAGCATTGATGCGACTCTCATCGCTGTGCCCTCTTCAACACTACGCTCTCTCAGCTATCTAATCACTCGCCACGTATTGAACTACGGCGAGTGATCAGATGATCGGTGGGCGGAGATCGCCGGACCCGCCAGCTTTGAGGCATGATAGGTCGCCGAGGTCAAATTTTTCCATGCGAATTGCGCGTCAGTTCGCACCCTCAGGAGGTCCGTGGGTCCCTCAACTAGGTCAGTTTCCCTTTCTTCGACCTTCATTCTAATCGTGAATTCCTCCTTTAAATCCTTGAGGTATCAAATGGAGCGTATCAATGAGACATTTTGCTTAACCATCACCAAACTTTTGAGAATCTGTGTTGTTTGGGAATTTGGTGCTGTCTTTGATAGATGTGCGGTCACTGAACCTAGTGGAATTCTTCAAAGGACCTTGGTTCAGGAGCCCAGGGCATTCCGCTGTATAATGTGGTATTTCTAAGGCCATCAGTTCTATTCAGGTCATTGTACTTTACTTACCAGGAGGTGTTCCAGGAAATGCTAAGCTTTCTCGAAACGATTTTTTGCATGATATAGAAGTACGTGCATGGAACACAGAACTGTGGTTCATTTTTCCTGAGCGACCCTCTGAATACCAAAAAAGGAGCGAAGAAAAAATTTCTTGAAGAAACTGCCGTTCTTAACTTTGTCTTCAACCAGTTGTTTAGCCAAAGTCTAGGTACAAAGGTTGCGATCTCATTATAAATATCACATAAGTACCGTGACGCGGGGGCTATTTTTTGCGAATTTTGAAACGCAAACGCTAACACAAAATGGGAAAACGTGTCACTGTGAGGATTCGTACCTGCGGACCACTTCATCACCCCTTTTTTAGTATTCAGAGAGCCCTTCAGGAACAATGAACTACAGTTTTAGGTTCCATGCACGTACCCCGGCTCTCAGACAATACCTAACCACTGGGCGTGGCCGCGGTGATCGCGGCCCGAGTTCGCTGGGCGAACGGTCGCCTCGGGGTCCTGCAGCGTATCGATCCAGACGAATGCGCCCCATTACACGATTCGCGCGCCCCATCGAAACAACCGCTCGCCCAACGAACTCGGGCCGCGATCACCGCGGCCACGCTCAGTAGTTAGGTATTGTCTGGGAGCCCACGTACCCCTATATCAAGCAAAAGACCATTTCGAGAC